TAGTAGTAGTAGTAGTAGTAGTAGTAGTAGTAGTAGTAGTAGTAGTTATAGTAGTCGTAGAGATAGTGGTTAAAGTAGTAAGGGTAGTATTGCTGGTCGTATTCGTAAAAGTCGCAGTAGTAGCAGTACTAGTAGTTGTAGAAGTAGCAGTAGTAGTAGTAGTAGTAGTAGCAGAAGTAGTAGTGGTAGTGGTAGTGTTCGTGGTAGTGGTGGTAGTAGTATTAGTAGTAGTATGAGTAGAAGTAGTAGTAGTAGTAGCAGTAGTAGTAGTAGTAGCAGTAGTAGTAGTAGTAGTAGTCGTAGTAATAGTAGTAGTAACTAAAGTTCGTGGGTGTATAAGGAGTGGTAGTAGTAGTAGTAGTAGTAGTAGAAATAGTAGTTGTAGTAGTAGTAGTAGTAGTTGTTGTTGTTGTCGTTGTAGTAATGGTAGTTGTAGCAGGATGAGTAGTAGGGGCAGCACGAGTAGTAGTAGTGGTGTTTGGAGTAGTAGTAGTGGTCGCATGTACGAGTAGTTGGCGTCGGGTAGTAGTAGCCGTCGCCGTCGTCGTAGTAGTAGTAGTAGTAGCAGCAGTAGTAAAAGTAGTAGTAGTAGTATGAGTAGTAGTAGTAGTAGTAGTAGTATTTGTAGTAATAGTAGTAGTAGTAGTAGTAGTAGTAGTAGTCGTAGTCGTAGTCGTAGTCGTAGTCGTAGTCGTAGTCGTAGTCGTAGCAGTGGTAGAACTATTCGCAGTGGTAGTCGTAGTAGTAGTAGTAGTTGTTGTTGTACTAGTGATAGTAGCCGTAGTAGCCGTAGTAACAGTAGTGGAAGTAGTAGTAGAAGCCGTTGTGGTAAAGGTAGTACGAGTAGAAGTACTTGTAGTAGTAGTGGTAGTAGTCGTAGTAGCAGTAGTACTGGTAGGAGTAGGAGGGGTAGTACGGGTAGCAGTAGTGGTGGCAGAAGTAGCAGTAGTAGTAGTAGTAGTAGTAGTAGTAGTAGGAGTAGGAGTAGTAGTAGTAGTAGTAGGGGTAGCAGTTGTAGCAGTAGTAGTAGTGGATGTAGAAGTAGAAGCAGTAGCAGTAGTAGTAGTAGTCGTTGTAGTAGTAGCAGTAGCAGGTACGAGTAGTAGGAGAGGCAAAGTAGTCGTGGTAGTAGTAGTAGCAGGAGTAGTAGTAGTAGTAGTAGTTGTGGTGGTAGTAATAGTCGTAGTGGTAGTCGTATTCGTAGTAGTAGCCGTACAAGTAGTAGTAGTAGTAGTAGTAATAGTAGTAGTAGTAGTCGTAGTAGTAGTAGTAATAGTAGTAGTAGTAGTAGTAGTAGTAGTGGTAGTTGTGTCGGTAGTAGTAGTAGTAGTAGTAGTAAAAGTCGTAGAGCTCGTCGCCGTAGTAGTAGTAGTAGTAGTAGTAGCAGTTGTAGTAGTAGTAGTAATAATATCCGCCGTAGCTGTAATAGTTGTACCTGTTATAGTAAAACTAATCTGAGTCGCCGTAGTAGTAGTATAGTCGTAGGACTGGTAGTAGTAGTAGTAGTAGTAGTAGTAGTAGTAGTAGAAGTAGAAGAAGTAGTAGCATTAGTAGTATTATTATTATTATTAGTAGTAGTAGTAGTAGTAGTCGCAGAAGGACGAGTCGTAGCACAGAAAATACGGGGACCAGCCGTAGAGGATCCTTTAGGATCCCATGGCATTCGTATAGGAGTCCTATAGGACCTTGTGGGATTCGTATAAGCGCCCTATAGGATCCGATGGGATTCGCATAGGAGCCCGATGGGGTCATATTGGATTTGCATAGGAGTCCTTTCGGATCCCATGGGGGTCGTATAGGCGCCCTTTAGGATCCGATGGGATTCGTATAGGAGCCCTTTCGGGTCTCACTGGTTTCGGATAGAAGTCCTAATAAATCCGATTGGACCCGTAGAGGAATCCTAAAGGATCCTATGATATTCGAACCGACGCCCTTTAGACTCTCATGGGGTTCGTATAGAAGTCCTTTCAGATCCCATGGGGTCGGATCGAAGTCCTTTAGGATCCGATGGGCTTCGTATAGAAGCCCAAATGGATCCAAGTGGATTCGTATTGGAGTCCTATAGGATCCCATGTGATTCGTATAGGAGTAGGATCGTATGCGATTCGTAAAATTGTCCGATCGGGTCTCGGGGTGGCCGCAAGGTTCTGGGACTCGGGGTCGTTCTCCGAGGACGTCTCCTGCAACGGGGGCCTCCCGGGTCCCCCCCCAAAAAGACCGTGCGGTGAGGTCGTGGGGAATGCCGAGGTCACCGCATTGGCTGTCGCCGCACCGTTCCGGGGGCCCCACGCCTCGCCCTCCTCTCCCTCCTCCTCCTCCTCCTCCTCCTCCTCCTCCTCCTCTTCCTCCTCCGCCTCCTCCGCCTTCTCCTCCTCCTCCTCCCCCTCCTCCTCCTCCTCCTCCTCCCTCCTCCCTCCTCCTCCTCCTCCTTCCTCCCTTCCTCCTCCCTCCTCCCTCCTCCTCCTTTCTCCTCCTTCTCTCTCCCCCTCCTCCCTCCTCCTTCTCCTCCTCCTCCCTCCTCCTCCTCCTCTCCCTCCTCCTCCTCCTCCTCCTCCTCCTCCTCCTCCTCCTCCTCCTCCTCCTCCTCCGCCCCTGCCCAACCGCAGCCGAGAGGCTGCGTTTTGTGTTGTCAGCAGCTGCGGTGCAGCACACGGTCTGCAGGTGCAAGGCCTCCCTGAGGGGGCCCCACAGGTCCGAATCTTTCTCCGTAGCAGAATGCCGATGTCAGGGGCAACGATAGGGGCGGATATCCTCAGTGGGGGACGAATCGGCTTCGAATCGCCCATTGACTGCCGACAGGATCAATGGCATAGATAGCCCCCCCCCCCCATACCAGGAGCGTCTGATCTCGTTTTGGTGGGCGTTTCGCCCATGCATCGGCGACGTATCACCGATGCCAGGTTGATGCTTCCCCACTTGGGCCAGTACCCCCTTTCGGTCCCTTTTGTATTCCTGCACTCCAGCTGAGACGCGGTACATGTTTCCAACCGCACAGCATGCGGTTTGCAAGTAGCTCCCTGAGGGGACCACCCCTCTGGTTCGCAGCGCTGTTTGCCCGAAACCCACCCCGAGTTGCGTAATAAGCACCCCTCCCATACCACGCCGCCCGACAGCCCGTCCCAGCCCACCACCCCCACCACCCCACGCGCACCAAAGGACAGCTCATCTTACCCCCCCCCTCCTCACGCCCCGCGATGGACAGCCCATTGTTACCCCCCCACGCGATCCCCCCCCCGTTTATATGGAACAACTCGGAGTGCTATCCTGCGCCGTGCGACGGGATCTGCACAATATCCGCTGCCTCTGGCCAGGCCCATCCTGGGCCCAGGAGCGGTGTATACGCCTCCCCAGCCAGGCCAGGAGAGAGGACATACACAGCTCCTGGTCCCAGGATGTGCTCGGCCACCGGCAGCGGACGTGTACAGATCTCGTCGCCCTGCTGCGCAGGCTGGGGCCGACCTGATCACCCACGAGAGCGCGCCCAGGATCGCCGCGAGCGCGGTCGGGCTGGAGCTCGGCGGAGAGCTGCAGCAGGAGGTGCGCGCGGGCTTCTCTGGAGGAGGGAGAGGAGGAGGCAGGACAGAATCGGAGGTGCGCGCGGTGTCTCTGGAGGAGGGGGGGGAGGACATAAACGGAGGTGTGCGCGCTGCCTCTAGAGGGGAGGGAGGAGGCAGGAGGAGGTGACGCAGGGAGGGATACCGGACGGACGGGGAGCGGCAGGGACAAGAGGTGTCTTGGACGGGGCATGCGATCCACGATCAAACAGCGCCGGACGCCGCAGAGTCCGACCTCCTCTCCAAAGGGGGCCGGTTCGCGCGTCGTGGCTTCCCCCCGAGCCTTCACCCAGAAGAGGTCATCCTCGGTCAAGCACAGCTGCACCAGACCTTGCTCACGCAGGGGCCAACCCCCTCGCACATGAGCCAGACAGGGGGAGCCACACCCTCCCCAGCACCAGGAGCCACCGGGCTACCCTACAACATCTCGACCAGGTCCCTACGTTCGGCAAGGTCGAGGCCTCCCAGGGGGCCCGAGGGGGAGCTCCTTCTGTCAATTCTTCCTCGAGGGAAACTTCAGCTGCTAATTCGCCTCGGCTGGTCAGTCAGGCCGCCTGGTGCCCCCAGTGGGGCCCCTTGCAGGGTTACTCCAGGGGCTTGCTGGCCGCACCTGCGCTACAGGTTGCACCGCACTTGCAACATAAACACAGCTTACCGACGGGGTCTCCTTGGGAGTCCCTGACTTGGGCAGCTAAGAACTCATGCTCCTTCACTCGGCAGACATACCGAACGTGCTCGTCCCAGTCCCGACTCCGTCAATGGCACGAGGAGGGTGGAGAAGAGCAGCGGCAGCGGCATGAGTTGCAGATGGAGAGTGTGGCGGGTTTCGTGTACGCAGAAAGCTGCAAGCCAGGCGCTGGCGTGGTTGGAGGGCACAGCTGGACCTGACACATGCGGGCACCACGGCACGTCGACCCAAGACCGCCGAAAGAACAGCGCCTTGAGAGCCTACGAGCGGGGGGCCTGAAGGGGAGCCTGTGGGTCGCTCACCGCGACGGCCTGCCCGGGGATCTCCTCGACACGGTCTTCCGCGGCGATGGCATGCGCGTGGCCTTGGACACCGCCGCGGTGGGAGCCCGCCAGGACCCAGCCAGCGTGCGCACCGCTGCTCGGATGCGGGTATGGGTCCAGCGGGAGCGCGGGCCGCCGATGACCGAGTGCGAGCGCGATGCCCCGCGGCACCTGCTTTGAGCTCGAGCTCCCCCGACGATCTTCATCGCAATACGGTACGGGTTCGTGCGTCTTGTGGCTCAGGGAGGCAGCACGGTCTTTTTGCGCCACCTGGCGGCTTGGTAATCCATGACATGTTTTGGGCACGGTCCAGGGATTATTCGCGCCGTGGCGCTGCCGAAGGTGGGGGGGATGCAGAAGATGGCATGGTGCGTTCACTCGGCGCCCTCTCCAGAGAGGCAGTTCGGTCCCGTATGGTGCGGTGCTACCTGTTACTTTGTAAATTCCCAGGCGCACGGGGGGGAGTGTCCGCACGCGGGTCCTCAGAGGAATCCGCGCCTGTCAAGGAATTGCCCTCCCCTTTCTTCTCTGATCTCCAGATGAGGGTGGGGGCGAGGTCCTCCAGATCGATACATGCGTACGCCATGCCCTGTTGCATTTTCTGCATGCTCTCTTATCTTTCTTGGCATCCCCCTGGTCATCATCTGCCCCCTGTATCGTCTTCACCGTGGCCTCGTGCCCCCGGCCCCCGACAATGAGGCCAGGGAGCGAACATGAAACAACAAGTATCCGATTCTTTGTATCATCTGGGAAGATACCCTGCTTGAGGTGCCGGGCGGGCACTCGGTCGCAGCAGCGGCGCCGGGCGACGAACCGTGGGAGGAAGGTTGGGGCCTTAGGGCTCCAAGCATCGTCTGAGCGCCGTGGGCTGGGGTGTCCCACGCTCTTGAGGAATGGTGAGCAGGTGGCACGGCCCGCGCGGGCGACAAGGTGGATCGCGCATTCCTTCGCTCGGTGTCGTGTCGCAGCGGAAGTGGTAAAGGGGGCAGCGCTGACCTGTAGCAGGAGACCGGCCAGTGATATTAGGCAAAGTCCAAGACAAGGACTCGCGGCTCTCTCGGGGTGCCATTGCGTCCTTGCCTCGGCGGCCCTTCCTTCGCCGTCTTCACTGGCCAAGCCCTCAGGGTACCCGTGCGGCGGGCGACGTTCTTCGGCTGCGCAGTGGAACGCCAATTCGGCAAGGACGGGGGTGGGTTAGGGCACCCTTGCATCGCTGGGGTGTTGGCAGCCCGCCGCCTAAAACATGCCGACTTCCTCGACCAAGGCCGTTGCGCCCTTACCACCCATCCTTGTAATAGATGTTGACAATTCGCTGCGGTATCCTGCCCGCGGATGGCGCGGGCGCCGCGCGCGCTGAGGGAAGCAGCTCGGGGCGAAGGGGACCGGGTGACATCTGGGGGGTGGCTGCCCGCGCAGCCGCCCAGAGGTCGGAGAGGGGTGTGTTAGAAAGGGGCGTGGTGCCAGTGCCAGAACTGGCGATGCTCTCTGCGATAGCCGCAAGTGCGATGCATCCCGATTTCAACATCATCGTTGGCTTCGCGCCGATCGCCTCAAATATCGTCAGCCTTTCTGGTTCCAACTTCCCCAAACGACCGCAGTCAGCACAATGACCTAATCCAGGGCGCCCGCTCACCAAGCACGCAGTTCCGCTGCCACATCGCGAAAAGCGTGATTGTGGAATTCCCGTATAGCCAGAAACGTACTTCTGGGAATTTCTGGGCCTTAGGAATGAGATTGTTTCACTGCAAACCATACTTCCAGATACTCGAATCGGATGCTCCGTGCACCGTGTCCACGCGGCCGGGGCTTGTGTTGCGGCATCCGGCTTCTTGGACTACTTACGCACGCGCGTGTGTGACGACACCAGCGAACACATGTGCTATTTCGACTCCGGCCGGGTCCAGGGCAGACCCCCTCCCAGTGTCCACCAGCCACGTGGCCGGACAGGGGCCCATCACAAACGGTGCTTGGTCACAGTGTTCCGCGTTGCTATGGTTTGAGCCAAAATGGCTAGAGTCCAAATGTTGATTGTGCCATCGCCTGGTGGCATCCTGCTTGCTTGGCCATGTGGCGGGGGCTCGTTTGGGCCACCTTTTTCTTTTCACCCTCGCTGTTCTTTGCGTCCTAAGGGCGTCTGCGGATGATCCGAGGCGAAGTCCCAAACCAAAAAGGCTTTCATTGCGCCCCGCGCCGCCGCCACGGCTTCGGAGAACAAGGTTGCAGACGTACGTGCGCGCGTGTGCCACGTTGTAGTAGCTCGGCGAACTAGCGGCAGTGCTGGGGCACGATGGCGAAACAACAGCCTAGCACATGGATGGATACATGATTGGCTTGGCAGACGTTCCACGGACTGATGGGTGAACGGGCGCACCCGAAGAAAGGCAGAAACGGTGAGGCGAAAGACGGAAGGATAGAATTGAGAAAGATAGCCCGAGCGAGGAGGAGCATCAGCCAAGGATTTGGACGACGACGGGGAGGGGGCGTGGCACGCAATGATACGGCACAGCGCTGCTATACTATTGGTTGAGTATGCCATGCCTCCACATGCGCACACGCAGCTTTCTTAACAAATTGCATGATGGCGCCGACGACTACCCTACAGTTCCAGCATGCTGAGGTAACGCGCCACGAGGAAGCGCGCGACCGCTCATATATTCCCCGACGCGTTGCTTAGCTTGGCCAGCCCGACCAGAATCGATTGCCGTTCGAGCTGCTGTGGTAAAGGTAAGCACCAGTCAAATGACATAGGGATTATGTCACTGCAGTGCCAACCTTTGGGTTTCTTAGAGCCCCTGGAACCTTGCTGATCCACTTGGCTAGCTGAGGCATTGTGGAAGCCGTTTGCGGGGCGTGTTCCAAATCTGTTCGAGCCTTCCCGGTGTATGCAAAAAAACGCCCGGCAAAGCAAAGTGGTATTTAGCGAGTTATGTGGGAGCCCAGAACACCAAACACATCATGGGGCCTCGCGGAGCTCTTCTGCTGCTCGGTGTGGCGTTCGGGGCCCTCTTGGGAATCGGATGCAGTCCATGCGGGGCCATGTTGGAGCTACAAAGGCCAATGAAGACTAAACGGCGAGACGTCCCCAAAGATTGCAAAAAGGCTCCGACAGGACGCAATGAGCGCACCCCTCCAACATAGACATACACTCATGATTCCACACGTATCTACATAGCTGCATTCATCCTCCTCCTCCTCCTCCTCCTCCTCCTCCTCCTCCTCCTCCTCCTCCTCCTCCTCCTCCTCTACACGCATACATGTACACAGGGCACGCGGGCGTCCGAGCAGCGCACGAGGCGGCCACGGGGCGGCAACGGGGCGGCAACGGGCGGCAGCGTGCCAAACCCTCGGCACACCCATACAGCGAGCGAGGCAGCAACGACGCGGCAACGAGGCGGCAACGGGCGGCAACGTGACGAATCCTCGCCATACCCACAGCGTACGAGGCGGCAGCGGCGTGGCATCGAGGCGGCAACGAGCGGCAAAGGGCCCCCACCACCGTCCCCACCACTGCCGTCCCCACCAGTGCCCCACTGTCCCCATTGTCCCCGACACGGTCCCACTCCCCCCACTGTTCCCACTACTGTCCCCACTGTCCCCACCAGTGCCCCCACCACTGTCGCACTGTCTCCACTGTCCCCACCACTGTCCCCACCACTGTCGTACTGTCCCCACTGTACCCACCACTGTCCCACTGTCCTCACCGCTGTCCCACTGTGCTGTCTCACTGTCCCCACTGTTCCCACCACTGTCTCACTGTCCCCACTGTTCCCCACCACTATCCCCACTGTCCCCACTCTTCCCACCAGTGCCCCCACCGCAACGTGGCGAATGATCGGCATAGCCCCTAAGTGCAGGCACTGCTTGGGGAAAATATTCAGTCTAAACTGGAATACACCAGAATGTGCCACTCGGGACTCAAGGATCAAACATGCTCTGCCGCGGGTGGTTATCATCCATGGCTCGTCCTTCTCGCCGCGGTTGGCGAAGGGCGGCTTTCACGCCAGCCACCCCCAGTCCACATGCGAGGGGAGAAGGGTTGTGGCGGGAGTGCACGGGGCAGGGACAGACCATTCCCGGAAGGGACAGGGGAGGTTCTCGTGGAAGAGCTGGCGCCCCAAGCACTTGCGCCCAGAGGACTGGTGCGCAGAGCACCGTTCGGGGGGTCATTGCCCAGCATCCTCTATCCGATCCCAACCCCTCGAGTACGGGGTCGACTACAGAGTTGACTTACCCCCAACTTGATATTCTCCTCGAGCTTACAAAAACCAGGTAGACCGGCCGCAGACATTCTATGATGTTCCATGGGTCCGACGAGAAAATACATTCGGGGTACATCAATTAACTTTAGTCGATCCCCTAGTCGAGTCCCCACTGGGCCACGCTGCGTCTGTCCCGCCAGGGTCAGGAGGAAAAGAAACACACAGACACAATTAATCCTCGATTCCCCAGAAAATATGAAAAAAATATGGGAAGTGGGGGGGAAGACAGAATCCCAGAAAATATGGGAAAACATGCGGAATCTGTTTATTTGTGCGTATTTATTTGTGTGTCCTGGGGCCCCTTCACAGGGTTCCCCACCAGGGTGGGGGTAGGCCCCGCGAGCCCCGAAGGGAACAGCATCACATCCCGTCCGGGGGATTACGCGGACAGAGGGGCCAAGACCTCGCCAGGTGGGAGGCCTTGGCTCCCCCCTCCTCCTCCTCCTCCTCCTCCTCCTCCTCCTCCTCGTCCTCCTATTCATCCTCCTCCTCCTCCTCCTCTCCTCCTCCTCCTCGTCCTCCTATCCTCCATCCTCCTCCTCCTCCTCCTCGTCCCCCTGTCCTCCTCCCCCTCGTCCTCCCTGGCTCCATGCCAGGGCGGGGGCGGGGCAGGTTAGACGAGGCTCACTTGCCCGCCCGCCGCGTCCACACTTGCAGGCGACCTGGCCAGCACGCACGCACGCGGACAACGCTGGTCAGGAGCCCCCGACGGAAGCGGATGTCGGCGGCGAAGTCCGCGCCCTACCCCCCGCCGATCAACGGATCGGGCAACTCGTTGGGCGGCGGGGCTAGGGTTCGGAACTCGTCGGGCACGCGGCGACATCCGAACCCTACCCCCCCTCCATTCGATTCAGGAGAATCGATGCTTGGCGGGGGTAGGGTTCAGAACTTGTCGGACACGTGGCGGCATCCGAACCCTACCCCCGCCTCCAATCGATTCAGGAGGATCGATGTTTGGCGGGGGGTAGGGAGGAGGGTGAGGAGGAGGAGGAGGAGGAGGAGGAGGAGGAGGAGGAAGAGGAGGGACTAGGAGGAGGAGGAGGAGGGACGAGGAGGAGGGACGAGGAGGAGAAGGAGGAGGAGGAGGAGAGGAGGAGGAGAGGAGGAGGAGGAGAGGAGGAGGAGGAGGAGGAGATGAGCATGTCGCCACCGGGGCGGCCCGGCCCCGCCGCCAGGTGGTGGAGTTGTGCGTCGACGCCCCGCGCCCAGCTTCGGAGCCATCGGCCGCCCTCCTCCGCGGCCGCGGCTGGCGGCGAGGCTTCCTGCGGAGGGGCTGCCGGAGGCCTCGCTCAGTCAGCGAGCGAAGAACGGTATAACATACACGTTTTCGCTGTCGGGGGCGCCTGTCCCTGGGCGGCTGGAAAGTTTCTACCCCTACGGTGCCACCGTAGGGGTAGAAACGTTCCAGCCGCCCAGGGACAGGCGCCCCCGACAGCGAAAAAGTTTATGTCATACCGTTCTTCGCCCGTTAACTCAGGGGGGGTCTTCCGAGGAAGAGAAGCCGCCATGAGCATAAATTTCGAAACTCCGCGCGGGTTTCTCGGATCCGATACAGACTGAGAGACAGAACGAGAGAGAGGGAGAGCAAACAAACATCGACAAACGCGCAACACATAAGCAACAGCTGAGAGACAGAACGAGAGAGAGAGAGAGAACGCAACCAAAAAACGTCAAGCACATAACATGCAAACAACAATTGAGAGACAGAGCAAGAGAGAGAGAGGTAACATGTAAACAGCAACGGAAAGACAGAACGAGAGAGAGAGAGAGGACACGGAAGCATTGCCCGCGGAAGCACAGCGACCAAGCGGGGGACACAGACATATTTTTCGAGAAATCGGTTGTTTGCATTGTTTTTGTCGTTGATTGTAAACCTCTCGCTGAAGTTGCATGTGGGCATTGTCCTCTGGCCGCCCCTGGACTCGCTCCGCTCTTCGATCGGATGACGACACGGATTTTTCACTTCGTGGATACAGGGTGGATCCCGAACACTGCCGTTTCGGATCCGGTGTTATGGCGTCGCTGGGAACACAATCAAATTGCAGATTTTCTGGTGAACCATGCCATGGACACCTGGAGCAGCTGGATGACGGAGGTTTCACCCGCGATACCAGAGTTGCACTACTGCAGGGAGTGAAGAATTGGAAAAATGTGATATTCACGAAGGCCACCGGAGCGCATCCTCGAGGGCCCCACCTCCAACATACCGTGACTGCCACTAGCTATTCCCTACCTACATTTCAAGGGGGAACAGCGGGATGCTACTGCAGGGCATCAGGGTACAGATACGACAACACATGGGACAACAATCGGCCAATTCGCTCTGTAAGAGGAATGTGCCGAGAGAGCGAGAGAGAGAGAGGGGAGACAGGGGAGAGAGAGAGAGAGAAAGAGAATGGGATAGCATAAAACCAGTAATATAATTCTGCCCCCCAGCAGAAGTTTGGAAAGCATGGGCCTCCCGTTTCTCTTCCTCTTCTCCTGTTGAATGGTCGTGTCGTCGTCTCTTCCTCCCTAGTTTGGGAGCCCTGCTCGCCCAGCGCGCCCCCAGTTCCACGGGCGCGCGAAAAAGCCAACCGCTGCTCCCCCCGCGCTGACCCGCAGGGATTCGCACTCACAAGGTAGCGAGTCTCTTACGGGGCCACCTCGGAGCTCACCCCTTCAGGCTTCGGGGCATGCCCCGTGCTGGCCGACATGAGAATTCAGGGCCATTGCACAACCAAGTCGCAGGGGAGTTTGCCAGACGCGCGCGATGCACCAGTCCAGGTGTGTTGACGTTGACCCCCTTTATGCGGATGTCCTGTCCTGTCCTCCTCCTCCTCCTCCTCCTCCTCCTCCTCCCCCTCCTCCTCCTCCTCCTCCTCCTCCCCCTCCTCCTCCTTATTTTCCCCCTCCTCCTCCTCCCTCTCCTCCTCCTCCTCCTCTCCCTCCTCCTCCTCCTCCTCCTGCTCCTCCTCCTCCTCCTGCTTCTCCTCTCCTCCTCCTCCTCCTCCCCCTCCTCCTCCTCCTTTCTTGTTCCTTCCTTGCACGTTGTGGTCCCTTGTCTTTTTTCTCCTGGTCCTAATCCTCCTCTCCTCCCTCCTCCCCTCCTCCTCCTCCTCCTCCGCCTCCTCCTCCTCCTCCTCCTCCTCCTCCTCTTCATACACGTTGTGCTCGGTCCTCCTCCTCCTCCTCCTCCTCCTCCTCCTCCTCCTCCTCCTCCTTTTCCCTCCTACTCCTCGGGTGGTCCCATGGCCGAAGAAATCGCCCCAGAACGTTCCAGAACGCCGTCGGAGCGTCCCAGATCGCCCTCCCGCAGCGGCGCGACGCCCAACACGACCCCTAATATCTAATTCCGGATGGCGCCATAATCGCCCCCCTTTTGGGCTCAAGGGGGGGGGATGGGCGGGTGTCGTCGGGAGGGGGGATGTGGGGGTAATGGCAGCGTGGGGGATCAATTTCCTGGGCCAGGCGGGTGCGGGGGGGAATTTTGGACACGCGTTGAGGAGCGGTTGGGAGGGGGGGATGGGGTCGTTCCGTCGGAAGCTTAGTCCCGCCCCCCCTCCCTATCATTGGGCCATCCGGAGAAGGGATCTGAGAGATTCCCGTGGCTTCGTCTTACAGTGAAGACTTATACCAAGAAGCACTTTGCTTGCCTCAAGGGTGCCCTGGGTTGCTTGGGTTTCGATGGTTCTTCGATGGAAAGCGTGACGTTCCTACACCGAAAACCAAGGGACTTCCTGGGGTTGCAAGGCTAGGTTTCTGATGACAGGTTATTGTGGTCGAGCTTCCACTGTACAGGCAGATATCCTCGCCTGCAGCCGATGTCCTCCTCCCTCCTTTTCCTCCTCCTCCTCCTCCTCCTCCTCCTCCTCCTCCTCCTCCTCCCCCTCCTCCTCCTCCTCCTCCTGCTCCTCATCCTCATCCTCATCCTCCTCCTCCTCTTCATCCTCATCCTCCCCCTCCCCCTCCTCCTTATCCTCCCCCTCCTCCTCCTCGTTCTCCTCCTCTTCCTCCTTCTCTTCCTCCTCCTCATCCTCTTCCTCCTCCTCATCCTCCGAGCTCCTCTTCTCGACCATCCTCACAGCGCGTGTTGGCAACAAGTGTTTGCTTTTTCCCGCCACGCCGACGGCCCACGGCCTACCCCAGCCCTCGTCACAACCCCTGCGCCGTACTGAAGGGCTCGTGTTGACTGAAGTGTCCATGCTGCGTCCATCGCACATCGCACCACTCATTTGGCTGATGTGCGAAAACCAGAGGTCCGACAATCCAAGAAATTGGAGCAGGCGGGTTTGGGCCGTTTTCGGCCTTTGGGGGCCCTCGCGGGGTCTCGGGAGTGTCAAACAACGAACCAGGACGAAAAACCTGCCCTGGGGAAGTGGTCCAGATCTCCAGGACCCAAGCATCGAAAAAATTGGAGCAGCCAGATGTCTGGGAAAGATCCTCGCGGCGCGACAGATCTTTTTTGCGCATTTGTCCGCGGCAGACCCGTCGCCGTCGCACCTGGGAGATCACATGAGGTCGGCCCCCCCTCTTCATGTGGGCGCTAATACACGTTGTGCCGATCATCGATCCTCGTCCTATCGCAGACTTGCGATGTTTTGATTTGTGGAATACGGCCCCCCCAGAAGTCCCGACCTTTTCCCCAGGGCTGGTCTTTCACCGAGAAGTTTTCTGGCGGTCCCCGGGTCTGGCAAGGGCCTCCAGAGGCCGCAGAAGGCCAAAAGTCTGCCGTCGTGAATTTTCACGGCGCAGCCATGCCTGGGATCTTTCCCTCGATGAGGGCTTAACGATTTCTGCCGTCCGCCGACGCGTGCTAGAGCTGCCACGATGTGCTCCAGATGTCCCTGGTGATCTCTGGATTGATTCGGATTTAACTGGATATGCCCAGATGTACTTGGATGTGTTTCGAATTATCTGCATTAACCTTCATGTATTTGGGCTGACCCCCATAAGTCAAAAAGGCGAAATGCCGTCAAGCCTGCAGGGATTCGCTGCGCATTGAGCTGCCCTCTGCGGTGGATCACCAGCTGGCCGGCCGAGGCCATGGCGCCGCAGTTCTCTTCCTACGCCCCCAGCGACCTGGCGGTGCTCCCCTCGGAGGTGCCCGGCCGCTCCTCCGGGCGCGAGTGACCGCGCCCCTCGTGCCCTCCCTCCCGTTCCCCCTCCCGCCCTCCCCCTGCTCCTGACCCTGGATCCTCCTCCTTCTCCTGCTCCTACTCCTACTCCTACTCCTACTCCTACTCCTACTCCTACTCCTATCCTTATTCCTTATTAGAATATACTCCTACTCCCCCCTCAGGCCGGCAGATAGCGGGCGCATCCGGGTGGTCCCATCCTAACCTGTAAAAAACAATACAAAATCAACATTTTTCTTATTTTTTCCTCTCGACATGGACGTCCTGTCGTCCACGGCGATAATCCATTGCAAAAAATAACACAAAGAGCACACGCGCGCGTTCATGTCAGAATCCTACCGAACACCGTGTGTTTGCAAGCATTTCAACATAAAAACATCAAAAACCCAATGCTTTTTTTCACAAAAATTGTACAAATTTCCCGCCCGGGCTCTCTTGCTGAAATCATAGGAAAACCATAGGAATCTTAAGAATTCGGTCAAATCCAGCGATTTCACGTCATCGCGCGGTGCACTCGCGATGCTCTGTCATGCACCCAGGCCGCGAATCCTGTGCAAAAAATACCACAAAGAGCACACTCGCGCGTTCATGTCAGAATCCTACCGAACACCGTGTGTTTGCAAGCATTTCAACATAAAAACATCAAAAACCCAATGCTTTTTCACAAAAATGCTTTGGGGTGTCCTGTCAGACCGTCGGGCTTCCTCCGGCCACCTCTGGCTTCCTGCGGTGTACCGGGCCATTCTCGACTCGTCTGGCAATGCGTGCGCGGCATTCAACACGCGCTCGCCAGTTCCCGTCGGCAACCGCCATCGCGGCCGCATCAGCTGTACCAAACCGGCTGGCCGGTGTGACTTCGGCCCCCAGTTGTGCCAGCTTTGCTTCTTATGTTGTGGGAGGGCGGGTGGGACTGGGCATGCCATGCTTGACTCGCTCGAGCTGGCTAGCTTGACTCCTACTCCTACTCCTACTCCTATCCTTATTCCTTCTTAGAATATACTCTTACTCCCCCCTCTGGCCGGCCGATAGGGGTTCCATCCGGGCCCTCCCATCTTAATTGTAAACAATCAATGCAAATTTGTCGTTGTGTCTCTCAACATGGCCTTTCTTGTCGTCGACGATGCAAAATGTATAGAAGGAATAGGACGCGGCGCACATCGCGCGCGGCCGTCAATCCAGGCCCTCCCATCCGAATTGTAAACAACTTACACGAAGTCGTCGTTTGTTCTCTCAGCATGGCCTTTCTTGTCGTCGACGGTGCGAAATGCGTAGCAGGAATTGGACGCGGCGTACATCGCGCGGGCGCCTGGGGCAACCCCAAGCGGGAGGGGCCATCCTACCAGTCAAAAACCGTACAGAGTCGACATGTTCCTTCTCAGTGGGGATTCCTCTTGTCGTCGGCTGTGCGAAATACATCCTGGGGCTTCCCGGGGCTTCCCCAGGGCCTCGTGGATCCTGCTGGAGCCTCCGGAGGCATCCTGGGGTTTCCTCGCATTCCCCGGGGGCCTCCTGACACTTCCGAGGGCTTGCTTCCTGGAATGACCTGGGGCTTCCTGGGCCCTCCTGAAGTTTCCTGGGGCTTCCTGGGGGTCGCTGGGACTTCTCCTGAGGCTTCCCGGGGCCTCCTGAGGCTTCCTGGGGCCTCCTCGGCTCGTGCTGAAATGCCAGCGCAGTCTTTGAGACGCGCCAGGGATCTCTTATCGGTAACCGCCATCGCGACTGCATCAGCTGTGGCAGGTCTGATGTTGGTCCCCAGTTGCGCCAACATGTTTTCTTATGTTGTGGGAGGGCGGGTGGGAATGGGCATGCCATGCTTGACTCGCTCGAGCTGGCTAGCTTGACTCCTTTTCCTACTCCTACTCCTCCCCCTCCTCCTCCTCCTCCTCCTCCTCCTCCTCCTTCTCCTTTCATGCGCGTTGTGTTCCCCCCCTGCTCATCCTGCTCCCTCCTCCTCCGAGTTCTCTTTGGCGAGATGCCGCCCCCCCCCCCCCCCGCGTGGGCGGGACGGCCGCATTGGAGAAATTCTGTTTTCGTGCCTTTCCCGCCCTCCTTTTCTCTCGCGTCTCCCTCTTTACCATGTCGTCCGCCCCCTCTCACAAGCGCGCGTGCATCAGTGAAAAACTCCTCTTCCTCCTCTTCCTTCTCCTCCTCGTCCCTCCGTCGCAATTTTACCCTTAGCCTGCGGCTGGACACACACCACCCCCCTTTGGCCCGTCCTCCCCAGGTCTGGATTTGTGGACACAAGTGTGTTCTGCAGTCAGTCCCGCTGACACAGACTGGCGAGAGTCAACTGAGACATGTCCAGCTCCTTTCCCAGCCATTGCTGATGCCCGAGAAGTCCAAGAAGGACAAGAAGAGCAAGAAGTGTGGCAGCGAAGCAGCTACTCCTCGTCGCTATCGTCGGCTTGGTGCCAGCGACGGCCACGTGTCCGAGGTCGCGGCTGATGGGCACACGCCCCCCTGCGACACCGCGGCTCGCGACCAGCAAGCGGGCGGGCAAGCAGCGTGGAGCGGGAGACGGTGAGGGCACTCCCAGACAGAAGATCGTGGAGCGAACGTGGCTCTCGCCCGCCCGGTGCTGCCTGCCAGCGTCGGCGCCGTGACCGAAGAGCTGACGCTGACGTCGGCGTTCGTGCTGCCGGTGAGGGTGACTCCGCCTTCGTGTCCGCGTTCCTTGAAGCTCCGACCTTGCCCTCGCCCGCCTCACAGGAGGCGGCAGCTCATACGGTCCCCAGCCGAGGCGGAGGAGGTGCTGCGGCCTGCGCCTCTCAGCCGTCGCCATGGCCCATAGCCCATGCCGCCAGGCGCGGGTGCAGGGGGAGCTCACACCATCATCTCGCTGGTCGACGGCGTGAAGCCCCGGGTGTAACGGCCGCGGAGCCAGGTGTGACGCTCGACCCGTGGACACAAGGCAACGTTCCAGATGTCTTTGATCAAATGCGAGGTAAATTAGATGGCAGCGTCAAGAAAATTGCTCGAGCAGGGGGAGGAGGAGGGAGGAGGCCAACACTCAGGAGGGTCGGGAATGACCTTTAACCAGGGAGCTAGAAGCGGCGCGCGGAACAGGACAGCCTAGACCACGCAGCCTGTTGGCCCCCATGCGTGCCGGCATGGTTGATGTGTATGCGTGCATGGATGTATGCATGTGTGTGTGCATGCATGCGCGTAGTTTTGTGTGTGCGTATGTCTGCGTGTGTGTATGTTTACGTAAAGTGTAAGTATATGTGTTTGTATATGTATGCGTGCATGCATGCAAGCATGTGTGTCTGTTGTATGTATGTATGTATGTATGTATGTATGTATGTATGTATGTGTGCATGTATGTATGCATGAACTTATGTATGTGAACATGCATGTGTAGGTGTTGTATGCATGTACGTACATATGAGTGTGTATGCGTGCGGTTAAATGCGCGGATATACATGTATGTATATGTGTATGTATATGCGCATGTATGTGTGCATGTGTGTATGCATGCATGCATGCATTTGTACATGGATGTGTGTATGTATGGATGTATGTTGTGTGTATGCAACTATATGTATATGTATGTATGTATGCATGCATGCATGCATGCATGCATGCATGTATGTGTGTTTACGTGCATGTATGTATGTTTGTTTGTGTATGTATACACGAAGTTATGTATGGCTGCATACCTGTATGCAAATATGATGTGATGTACTCGTGTATGCATGCACGCATCCATGCATGTACATGTGGAGGTATGTATGTTTGTATGCATGTACATGTATGTATACATGTATACGTGTAAGCATGTGAGTAAATATGTTTGAATGTTGATACGGGCGCAATTGTACATGTATACGTATGTGTGTTGGTGTGCGTGCACGTGCGTATGCACGGATGAATGTATATATATATATATATATATATATATATATATCGGAGGTGAGGGGGTGAGATCGAAGTGGAACGGGGAGCCCCCCTACCAGGAAATCGGTTTCGGTTTCGTGTTCGTGCGTGCCGTGCGTGCGGGCGAGGCGAAGCTGCGTGGGCGGGCGAGGGGAAAGTCTCCTGTGGCTGACGCGCGGCCGGACCAAATGACTCCCTTCCGGCATTCGGTGCCGCGCGGTGTCCCGCCGGTGTCCCGCCTCCGGCTGAGGCGCGGCCGGACCAAATGACTCTCTTCCAGCGTCCGGTGCCGCGCGGTGTCCCGCCGGTGTTCCGCCAGTGTCCCGTCGGTGTCCCGATGATGATGATGATGATGATGATGATGATGATGATGATGATGATGATGATGATGCCGATGATGCCGATGATGTTGATGATGATGATGATGGTGATGGTGGTGATGGTGGGTGTCCCGATGATGATGATCATGATGTTGACGACGTTGATGATTATGATGATGGTGATGATGGTGATGAGTATGGTGTCCCGATGATGATGATGATGATGTTGATGATGATGATGCTGATAATGATGATGGTGTCCCGGTAATGATGACGATGATGTTGATGACCTTGATAATGGCGATGATGATGAGATGGTGATGAAATGATGATGGTAAGATGATGATGATGGTGTCCCGATGATGATGGTGAGGTTGATGATGATGCTGTTGATGATGATGGTGATGATGATGGTGTCCCGATGATGATGATGATGATGTTGATGATGATGATGACGATGATGGTGCCCCGATGATGATGATGTTGATGATGAGGATGAGGATGAGGTGGTGATGAGGATTTTGAGGATGGTGGCCCGATGATGGTGATGATGATGATCCTGATGTTGATGATGATGGTGTCCTGGTGATGGTGGTGATGGTGATGATGATGATGATGGTTACGATAATGATGGTGTCCCGCTGATGATGATGTTGATGATGATGTGATGATAATGATGGTGTCCCGATGCGCACTGCGCCACAGACAGGGAGGGCCTCCGAATTCGTTCACGGGGGCCGCAGTGAAGGTCGAAACCCCGGTCCGCTGCAGTGGTCGACCAAGCCGTTGGCAGCCACGCCCACCCGACATACAGCTGCGACAGGCCTGGCGCCGACGACCACGCTGAAAGACTGGCCGTCGGCCTCGTCCAGCAACCCCTTCCCTGCAGTGCAGGCTGCTGCGAGTGGTGCCGCCGGCTGGTGCCCGCCGTGCTGAGCACCATTGGGCCAACGGTGCCGTTGGAGCCGGGGACACCCAAAGGTACCGATACCGCTTCAGTGAGCGGCTTGAATAAGGAACGCTTACTTTTCGAAAGGGGCTCGGTCGTCCCTTAGATTTTACATGCGTTATTTACAGCTCTTAATGCGTTATCTATTAGGTATCGTTCCTTATGCGTTATTCCTCGGGATAAAAGGGGGCTTCGTTCCTCATGAATCGTTCCTTAGGTCAGGCCGATGACTGTACTCCCCAGACCTCTCCCGGGGTGCGTTCTGACCAGGGAGGGGCGACTAACCAGGAGGACGAGGATCGTTTTGCAGCGGGCGAGGGCGCAGCACGACGGGGAGCAGCACCACCCGTAGCCTCACCACTGAGGGGCACTCGCAGGGGCTCGGAGCAGCACCGCTGCAGGGAGCAGCGCCGCTGGCCCCAGCACGATCGAGGGCCAGCAGTTCAGGTCGCGGCTGCACCTCAGAGAAAGAAAAGGCACCCATGCCTCTACCCTCGCCCCGTTTTCCCGTGTGTTCGGCCTCTTGAGAGGCCCTCGTCGCCACCGCTGGATTCGCCTAGGCCCCCTGTCGTCGAGAAGACAAGAGCCCCAAACCCTAACGGCACAGTGGAGGCGTGGCCTCACCTATGTCCCCGTCTCTGCATCAGGGATCATAATTCCTGGCTGTTTGGCCCGACAAATCTGCAGAACATATGGCCTTTTGTCCCCCATTATCTGGGCCCTCCTGACTTAGGTCCCCTCCCAAAGGATAAGGGGTCGTCTGACTGCTAATCATCCTTCTCACCCTCCTGCATGTAGCGCCCTGCTCTTCTCGAGGTGTTCCAGGCGCTGTTGCTGCGGGACGACCTGGAGGTTGTCGGCGCTGGGCAATGGGGAGGGCAGGGGTAATGGTAGGGGGGCGTAGAGGAGGCAGGGAAGGGAAGAGCAGTGGAAGGACGAGGGTACTCTTATAGCGGCAGTAAGTCAAAGTTTCATGCACAAGTATTGTGTCGCAAAGACGGGGCCGTTGTGCACAGCCTGTGTGGCTTCACTCGGAGCGGTCTTTTCTCCTCGTCTCCATCTTGGTTTCATTCCTCTCATCCCTTTCACCACCCCTGCGCCACATGACATGTATGTTACGCCCGCTTATTGCTCGCATTTCCCATGCCGCTTTTGTTCGCAACCATGCTGTCCGCTCAATAGCTAGCCCGTCGCATTAAAATAAGTGCGAGTTGTGCTCCCTGGCTACCGAGAGACAGGCCTTGGGTCAGTCGCCCCATCTCCAACGTATGACGCCGATACGCTTCTCAAGTACACTTGCGATTTCCACCGCCCTTGCGCGGGGGTTCGGCCGCGCTCGCCGGATGAGCCCTTCAATTGGGTCTGTTCTCGCGTCCCCCCTGGTAAATAAACTCCATCCTGGGGGGGGTTCGAGTTGGCGGCACCGCTTGTGCGAGTCGGCACGAGACCTCCCGGTAAGCACGAACCCCCGGGGGTACCGGCACGAAACCCTTTGGTGAGCACGAAGCCCCCCGGTATGCACGAACCCCCCTAGTATTCACGCTTGGCTCGACTGGACCCCAAGGGTGTTCCAAGACGCCACACCTCCACAGAGAACCAACCCCCCACCCCACCCGCAACCCCGCCCCACCCCCACCCCCCACCCCCACCCCCCCACTCCCACAGAGCGGGGGGGTCCAGGTCGAAGCCCCCCCCAGTGCGGCCTGCACGAACCCCCCCAGTCAAGGGACAGGGGGGGAGGTTCTGAGCCGTCGGCGGCACCCGGTGTGGCCTGCACGAGACCCCCCGGTAGTATTGAGGGGGGTGTTCGTGCCACGGGGCACCGCCGATATATATATATATATATATATATATATATATATACATATGCATTTACATATATATATATATATATATATACATATATATATATGTGTGTGTGAGTATATGTGTGTACTGCTGCTCCGCGCGCGCGCCCGGCCCCTCGCGCGGGAGCGCGCACGGACCGCGGCGAGAAACCCAGAAATTCCAGAGGTGCCAACGACGCACACCCGACACATCCACAACGCATGGCATGCAGCCGCCACTCCCCGCGTTCCTGCTTTCCCTTTTTAAAAAGAAAAACATGTTATCGCTCACTCTCTCTCACTCTCTCTCTTTTCTCTCTCTCTCTCTCTTTCTCTTTCTCTCCCTCTTTTTTATATATATATATATATATATATATATATATTATTGATGTTGTTTTTTTTCTCTGTCTCTCTCTCCTCTCTCTCTCTCTCCTCTCTTTTCTCTCTTTCTATCTCTCTCTCACTCTCTCTCTCTCTCACACACACGTGTCCCACACGTGTGGGGGTTCCTCCAGGGCGCGCTGGGGCGGGGGGGGGGCTGCGCCCCCTTCCCCTGCCCACTTCTTGAGATTTCTATCTCTCCCTCTCTCTTCCTCTCTCTCTCTCTCTCTCTCTCTCTCTCTCTCTCTCTCCCCCACCCCTCTTTTATCCGGATATCTCACCTCGCCTCTTTCTTGTTGTTTGGTTTGTTTCTCTCTCTCTCTCTCTCCCGTTCTCTCTCCCCTCTCCCTCCCGTCATCTCTCACATCGCCTGCTCATCACTCCGTCTTTTACCTCAGTCGCTTTGCGTCGGGGGGGGGGTTCAACGTCCGCCGTACCCCAAGGTGGGCACCACCGCTGAGCGTGCATTGGCGGCCCTGGCTACCGCTGTAGCCGGCTGCGACGGGACGCCCGTCTGCTTGCCCGATCTCGCTCTCTTTTTTTTTGTTCTCTCTCTCTCTCTCTCTCTCTCTCTCTCTGTCTCTCTGTATCTCCCCTTCTCCCGCTCGCTCTTGCTGTCTTGTGTTTCTCTTTCTCTCTCTCTCTCTCTCTCTATCGCCGTCTCTCTTTCTCTGTCTCTCTCTCTCTCTCTATCTCTCCGTGTTTCTCGTTCTCTTTCCATGCATCAATTTGTAGGTGTATCAGATCCATCTCTCTCTCTCTCTCTCTCTCTGTTTCACTCTCTCTCTCTCTCTTTCTCTCTCGTTGTCTCGCTCTCTTTCTATATATATATATATATATATCTCTCTCTCTTCCCCCCTCTCTCTCTCTCGATCTCTCTCTCTCTCTCTCTCTCTCACCTCTCACCTCTCACCTCTCACCTCTCCTCCTCTTTGTTGCTGTCTCTCTCTTTCTCTCTCTCTCTCTCTCTCTCTCTCACTCTCTCTCTCTCTCTCTCTCTCTCTCTCTCTCTCTCTCTCTCTCTCTCTATATATATATGTATCCCGTTATATGTTTCCTTCTCTGTAGCTAAATATACACATATATATATATATATATGTATAGCATTCGCTCTCGTTCTCTTCCTCTCCCGCTCGCTCTTTATGTATTGATGTGTATCCCCGTCTCTCTCACTTTCCTTGTTTGTTTCTCTCTCTCTCTCTCTCTCTCTTTCTTTGTGTGTTTGTTTGGTTACCTCTCTCTGTAAGTGTATATGTAAACACACACACATATATATAGATATGTATATATACATATTTAAATATACATATATATATACATATATATATATATATATATATATATATATATGTTTACCAGATGTTTCTCTCTCTCTCTCTCTATTCCTGATTATCTCTCCCATTCGTCTCGGTTCTAGCTTCAGGGGAGGCTGAAGGCCAGGGCGATCCTTTCACGCCGTGAGACTGTCCTCCCCCACTCCGGGGGACCGAATCGCCCCCCCACCCCTCGCCGGCGCGCTCCGTGGCCCCTCCGCGCTCGCTCTACCGCGCGGCCCCTTCTGGCACTTCCTCGACGCACGGCGCCCGGCCCCGAGAGCAAGCTCGCGCGGAAGGGCGCGCGCGGCGAGGCTCTCCGCCAAGGCGGAGGCGACCGCCCAGCGCCCGCCCACAGCGAGTCTGCCCAGAACGCTGGCGACGCACTGGAGCTGGTTTTGGACCGCCCACCGCGGTGCTCCAAAAGACCTCCGACGCGCACCCCCACCGCCGGCGCGGCGCCCGCAAGGTCTCCTGGACCCGCGCGAACTACGAGCGCACCCGCGCAAAACATAATATATATATATGTGTATATATATATATATATATATATATATATATACATATACATATGAATAGATTTACTTATATAATTATATAGTGGCGATACGGCTCAGCCACGGCCGCCCAAGTGCCCCTTGCCACCCCCTGGGCCCGAGCCACTGGGACGCCCCAGCCCCCGAGGCCCTCGAGCCAGTAGTAGACGCGGACGCGGGGCGCGAGCGCGCACGAGAGCTCAGTCTCTCTGCGCGCGGCCGAAGACGCACCAGCCGCCCCGGCTGCGCTCGCCGCTGCGGTCGCCCCCGGCCCAAAGGACACGCCGCGCAGGGGACGCGAGCGCCAGGTTCCCGCCATTCGGCGGACGCCACGATCCACCCGACCGCAACCCACCCACTTCGACGCTTCCATCCACCAGTTCGGGCGCATCGAGGTCCAATGCGCCTGGAGCGCCATGGGAATGGAGTTCGACCGAGCGCTGAAAGCTACGCGGGTCCGCGGTACCATCTGTTAGGTGGCAAATGATGGGAGTTTCCTTTCTTACCCAATGGTGTCTTGCTTCCTCCTTCGTGATCATTTAGTGTGTACTAGTGCTGTTTAGTGTTGCGTAGCGTTGCTCGTGCACGCCGGTCGGTGCGCGCGTGGCATCGCAGTTGTGCGAGCAATGCCAGATTACTAAGATCGGCCGCGACTTGTTTCACATTTCCTTTTCTTCCTGCCCCTCCCGCGTGCGAACTAAATTGCATTAAATTGTACCAAACGCAACTAAATTGCACTAAATTGCACTAGTGTGGGGCGCACTAAACGCCACTAGTTTGCACTAAATTGCACTCGGTTGCAGTAGATTCCGCTAAATTGCACTAGGCGCCACGAAATTGCATTTGACGCCACTCAATTGCACTAGATTGCACTAAATTGCACTAGCGTCTCCCGCCGCGCCACACTAAACGCAAATAAATTGCGCTAACTTGCACAAGTGTCGGGCGCACCAAACGCCACTAACTTGCACGAAATTGCACTAAATTACACTAAGTTGCACTAAACGCTACTAAATTGCATTACGCGCCACTAAATTGCACTAACTTGTACTACATTGCACTAGCGCCTCCCGCCGCGCCACACTAAACGCAACTAAATTGCACTAGAATGCACTAGTGTGGGGCGCAGGCGGCGCTAAGTTCGACAAACGAAGCTCCCATCATATGCCACCGAACATCTGGGCAAACGAAGCCACTGCCACAACCGACGGGGCCCTCGCAGAACTGTTCCCCCAACAGGTCGCAGGCGGCGCCCCAATCAAAGGGCAGCGCAAGCCTGGCCCAGGCGACGGTTCTGCTTGGCAACGAGCCACGCAGAGGCGCCGCCATGCCAAAGCCAACCCAGAGAAGCTGGCGCTAGACGTGGAGCTCCAACAAGGCTTTGACTTTCTGCGGGGGCAACTCTTCCCGCGCGCGGCATTGTATCGAGCCCCGCAAGTCCCCGCGCCGCCGCGGGGCGCGGGCGGCCGGGCGCAGCTTGTCGGCCACCTTCGGCTTCACCCTCGCGTTCACGACGCGTTCCGCGCGTCTGGCTAACAAGGAGTGGCCTTCGACATTTCAGTCGGCCGAGGTACCCGCCGCCAGACACCGCAGACACGCGCGACTTCATCTGGCACCCAGACCCTGGGCCAGAGCTCGCCACGGCCTACGCTAACTCAGTCAGGCAAAAGGCAATCGGGGGCCCGGGCAGAGCGAGCGAGGCGTTTCCCACTGAGGTGGGCGAAGGAGGCGAAGGAGGAGGACGTCGGAGGAGGGAGGGAGGGAGCGGGAGGGAAGGAGCGGAGGGGGAGGGAAGGAGCGGAGAGAGGGGGGAGTGGAGTGATGGAGGAGGGGTGGAAGATCATATTTCGACGCGGGATGGCATGCCTCGGGCTGGGCCCGACTCATTTGCGGCCGCAGAGTGGCAGGTAGCAAACGTGCATTAGACCAGGACTCGCGGCCAGCAAGTGCAGCCCCGAGGGGGGCGCCCAGGTGGCGAACGAGGACGACGTGTTCGATTTCCTTCGCAAGGCTGGGGCCACGAGGGACGGGAGCGTCGTCGTGGAAAGGAGAAGGAGGAGGAGTGGCAGCAGGAGGATGAAGATCGGCGGGAGGAGGACAGCTGGATTCTCGACGGGGGGGGCGCCCGAGGATTCTCGTGGTGGGATGGGGCCTCCTCCTCCTCCTCCTCCTCCTCCTCCTCCTCTTCCCCATCCTCCTCCTCCTCCTGCTCCTCCTCCTTCTCCTCCTCCTCCTCTTCCCCATCCTCCTCCTCCTCTGCTTCTTCGTTCCGCTCTCACTCACCAAGGGCGCCGACGAAGCAGCAGCCGCCATGCCCACGGCAGAGCGAGAGCACAGGCTGTTGCAATGAACGGCACTTGATACAATCCCAGCATTCCCCGAAATCCCGGCAGGGTGCAAATTGTGTTGACACTGACTATGTCGAGGTGCGTCTGACATCACAGGATGAAGCGACCGTAACAGCAATTGGCGCGCGACTTGGGCGGACGTCTGGGGATAAACCAGCGACAGCGGCGGGCTTTTTGGATTCGTTTGGGTAATTCTCCCTGGCCCGATAAAAAAACAGGCAAGTTCCGGTTCCTCAGCGAGTTTCTTTGACATCGGACTTCGCGGCGAGAAGGCGCAAAGTTTGCGCCCTCCATTGAACTGGACATCAGCGCACATGGCTATACTCCTCTTAAAACTGCCAGCTGTGAGTCGTTGTCTCTCTCTCTCTCTCTCTGTGTATCCTCTCTTGCACGCTCGTTTGTTCTCGCTCGCAAACCACATGGTTGTCCACACTGTCACCCCAGACGTGCCCATGTAATCTTAAGTCGGGCCTGTCCCTCTACAGGAGGAAAATTCAAAAATAGTCACACACACACACACACACACACACACACACAAAAAAAAGGAGTTGTTTTACTATTGTTTGATTGTTCTCGATGTTTTCAACTATTTTTAATTTGTCGTTCAAAATCCGCCTGTAGGGGGACATGCCCGACCTACATGTAATCATGGGTGCGTCGTTTCTCCTATAATCTTCGAGCAGGGTTGGGGGCGGGGATCTCGGGGGCGATGAATAGCTCGGCTTCGCGGCGAGGGGGAGGAGGGCGAGCGAGATTGGCGGGGCGGGGATGGGTCAGTGAACCGTGGCCGCATACGATCCGATTCGAGGCGATTCGATTCGCCGGCTGTGGCCGAGATTCCCGTCCGACTCGCTTCGGCTTGCTTCACCGGCTCCGACCTGGGCCAGCTGGAGCCAGGCGCGGCGATCCAGGCTCGGGTCGATTCGGTACGATGCCCTGGCGATCCGACCCGATGCGTCTCCGATCCGGTCCGATCAGGGAGCCATGGGGCTGGGCAGGTTGCCCTTCGCGCCTCCGAGCGCCACCGTCGGGGGGCACCTCGAGCGCCACCGTTGCCGAGGGAACATTACTCAGGAGTCCCCTTCGCCTGCATCCCCAACCCTCTCCTGGTAAGCGCGAGTATCTTGCAATCCTGCCAGCTGAGGTGGCTCTGGGAGTGCGGTAGGAGGAGGGAGGAAGAGGACGAGGGAAGGAGAAGAGGACGAGGGAAGGGGAAGAGGACGAGGAAGGAGGAGGAGGAGGAGAGGGAAGGCAGGAGTGGGAGGGGGAGGAGGAGGAGGAGGAGGAGGAGGAGGAGGAGGAGGAGGAGGAGGAGGAGGAGGAGGAGGAGGAGGAAGGGGAGGTGTGTTGAGGATGAGGATGAGGGCAAGGATGAGGATGAGGGTACGAGGATAAGAGGATGATGATGATGGTTATGATGATGCTGATGATGATGGTGATGATGATGACGATGGTGATGGTGATGGTGACGGCGATGGGGACAATGATTATGATGCTGGCTATGATGGTGATGGTGTTGATGATGACTATGACGATTATGATGGTGATAATGATACAGATGATGGTAGTGCTGATGATGCTGATGATGCTGATGATGATAGTCGTGATGATAGTTGTGCTGCTGGTGATGATGATGGCGTTGGGGATGATGACTACGATGATATTGATGATGATCACGGCGATGATGATGAGGATGAGGATGAGGATGAGGATGAGAATGAGGATGAGGATTACGATGGTGGTGGTGGTGGTTGTGGTTGTGGTGATGGTGGTGATGGTGGTGATGGTGATGTTGATGATGATGCTATTGATGATGATGAATGGTATTGATTGCTTTGGTGATGATGCTGATGCTGGTGATGATCGCGATGATGGTGATTGTGCCGGTGATGGTTGTCATGGTTGTGGGGATGATGATGATATTGATGATGAACATGATGATGGAAACCTCGATGATGATGATGGCGATGGCGATGATGATGATGATGATGATGATGATGATGATGATGATAATGATGATGATGATTTGATGATAATGGTGATGGTGATGGTACTGATGGCGAGGATGCTGATGATGGTGATGGTGATGGTGATGGTGCTGATGTTGATGCTGATTATGAGAATGGCGGTTGTGTTGATATTGAAGGTGGAGATGATGACGGTGGCGGTGATGGTGTTGGTGACGATGGTGACGATGGTGATGAGGGTGACGACGGTGATGAGAGTGATGATCCTGACGACGACGACCATGATGATGACGATGATGATGATTATGATGATGATGGTGGTGGTGGTGATGATGATGCTGATGATGATGATGATGATGACGACGACGATGATGATGATGATGCAAATCGCGGTGATTATGAGGAGGAGAAGGGAAGATGAGGACAAAAAAATGAGGAGGAGGAGGAGGAGGGACAAGCAGGAGTAGGACAAGATCCTCCACCAGGGCTCTGAAGCGGCGTGCCTGATGCCCAGGCTGGCCTCCGGCGACCCGGGCCATGGCCCGTGAGCCGAGTGGACGGTACCGTGGGCCCCCAAACGGTGTGGTGACCACCACACCGCGTGGTGAGTCAGCGGTGGTTCGGGGTCACCGCACGGTTTTAGGACGTCTCGGGCGATTCGGGCCTTCGCGGTCCAGAAGCCGTGCGGTGACGGACCGTGCGGTGAGGTCTCCGAGGGGTCCCAGGGTTACCGCGCGGTCTGTCACCGCACCGTTTTGGGACCCCCAGCGGAGAAGCGCCTCCGCAGTTCCAGGACGCGTCGAGTAACTCGTGCTTCTAATTCCAGCACCTCTTCCTCCTCCTCCTCCTTCTCCTCCTCTCCAGCTGGTTGGGGCATCTCCTTGTATGTTCTCTTATCTCTCTCGTCCTCCGCCACCCTCTCTTCCTCTGCCTCCTTTCCGCTCACCTCCTTCCAAATAGTCACTGCACTCCCTGCCCCTCTCATCATCCTGCTCCTGTTGCTCCTGCTCCTGCTATTGTCTTTGTCTCGGGGTATGCTCCGCACCAGCCTCTTCCTCCTTGTCGAAGGTGAGCGGCCAGCTGGACAGCAACAGCATGAGCCAGCTCTGGAGACACTGCCGGCTGCACCAGCTCTCCAGGGAGCGAGTGTTGGAGGCTGCGCTCATCGAGGAGCGGTGGTCGGAATATCGCGGCGGCCTCCTGGATGCTGCTCGGCGTGGGCAGTCCGAGCGGGGAGTTGCAGTCGAGGTTGATCAGTAGGTCGAGGTTGATGAGTAGGTCCACCCTGCCAAATTACGGGTACCCTGTTGTCCTGTGTTTCGCGCCACACGTGTTCTCCAGTCCTATGGCAATGTGGCCCTCGACAGGGTCTTGTGTCCTCTCGCGCGTCCTCTTCAATCAATCGCGGTTGTATCCATGACCACCGCCCGGAGGATCGATCTTCGGGGAAGAGCAGGCGGTGGATATGGATGTGGATACGTTCGGGCCCCAGGGGGGCCCACAGTGTCCACATCTACCGCCTCTCGAGGTCCCCCGAGATCGATCCCCCGGGCGGTGGTTGTGGATAACCCCCCCCCCGCCTCGCAAGCAGAGCGTGTGCACACGATTGCGCCCCGCCCTGAACGTTCAGACACCATGTTGGCGCGCTCTGCAAGCAAGTTCGAGTGAGAAACTTACACAATAACGCGGCGAGCCATGCATTGATTCTGGCGCGCATGGCGAGGCAAGCATTGCGTTTCGCATTTCCATTGGACAACGGACGAGTTGGCAAGTGCTGTTGCAGCTATTCCAGAAGTTCGCAGACCCAGAAGTTGACACCAACGCCAATATCGGCGGTGTGCCTCCACCGAGGGAAGAAGATCCCGATCTCGGTGATGGTGGTAATATTCTGACCTCCAAGGTAACCGAAGTGTTACCACCAACACCGAAATCTAGGAACCTCCTACCCCTGTGGAAGCACACCCCTATGTGGGTGTCGGTGACCATTTCCAGGCCTCCAAGAAGCGGGCACACACTGAAACGTCGACACATTGGCATGGGCCTCTGGATCGCCGCGCCCCTGCCTGTCTGGGAGGCACGGATCGGTGTCTGATTTGCACTCGGGGTCGGCTGGACGCCCGCTCTGCATTGGCCCCGCAGGCGGAGGGGTGCCTCGCCCATCGTCCGACACATGCGCCACCCGCCCTCGAACACTGCCCGTGCCGACCAGGGCACGGATCGATCGTGCTGCACCGCGCGATCAGGCGAACACACACACTCGGCCAACCGACCCGTCAGCCAGTCACGGACGCCGGAAGGGAAGGCAGTGGCAGGGGTGGACCTAAACGGTGTTTGGGTGATTTCGTGGGCCGTTTTCGTCTCGATTTCGTCCTGCGTGAAAAGCGGATTGAAGACAAAGCCAGGGAAAACGAGAACAACACGAAAACGAAAAGCACCGTTTAGGGTTCAGCCCAGGGCAGTGGCTGCTGGAGGCCAAGGGGGGGGGCGCTGGGGCTGCGCAGGCGATCGACGCCCCTCGCGTTCCTCGGGCTCCCTCCGTGAGCTCCAGGAGTGCCCCCTCGCGGCTCTGGCCTGCCACCCTTGGTCTTCGGTCGGGCGTGTCCTCATACGGGGGGATTGCGGGCGAAAAGTACAGAATGATTAAAACATGCGCCACACATGTTCAAACATACTCAAACATCGTCCCCCGACTACTTCTTTCAACTATGTTTGAACGCTCTTCCTGTAGAGGGCCACGCCCGATTCAAGCTTGGCCCACCGCTTCCGCGAACTGCGTGCCATTGAACCTCCCCGGCTGAGGAGGCACACCGCGGCGCGACCCGTCGCCGGATCAGGCGGCAGGGGGCCTTCTGCTCCGGGGGGGCCTTGCCCGATCCGTGGATCTGGCGCCCACGCTCCAGATCCGTGGGTCTGCACCGTCGGGGAGTGTTCGTTCGCGTGCCACGCCCCCCGTTCTGGCCCCCGGCGCTGCGGCTCGACATGCCGTCCACGGCCCAGCAGAAATCACCAGAACATCTCTGGGCTGCAGCAATCTCCCGAAAATCGATTGGACGTACACGGGCAAGGTACGGAGCATCGCCAGCGGAGACTCTGCTGGAGGCTTTTGTTTTAGAGCGAAGATGCTTGGGAGATTTCCTTGGAGGTCAGCGTGTCACGCCCCCGGTTCTGCCCCCCTTCGCGCTTCGGCCCGGCACGCCGTCCACGGCCGCGTCCCAGGCGTCCAAGGCCCCGAGCCGTGCGCAGTTCAGGAGGGGAAAAAACACACAGACACAATTAATCGTCGATTCCCCAGAAAATATGGGAAAATATGGGAATTGGGCGGGAAGACAAAAACCCAGAAAATATATGAAAAGATGTGGCATATTTTCACTTGTGTGTATTTATTTGTGTGTCCCAGGGCCCCTTCAGCAGGGGGTCCCGCCCCCTGCGAGGCGGGGCGCCGCCGCGAGGAGGCGCAGCCGCGTCGCCCGGGGCCGCCGCGCGGCGAGACGCCGGCGGGCCAGAGCTCCCGGGCGCGTGCCCGGTGCTGGCTCGGCGCTGGTACTGCCATTGTGGTGCGCGATATTCGACCTCCTAAGGCGTCTGCATCGAGTTGATAGAGGAAGAGCTGAACCCGCCACGTGCGTACTACGCGCACGCGGAACACCCCGAGGAGGAAGGGCGAGGAGCTTTGATCTAGGCTCACGTCGGGCCTGTCCCTCTACGGGAGGAGCATACTCAAAGAGAGTCCAACGAATAGTCTGGGGACGAGTTTTGGTTTCCCTAGTGTTGCCCATTTGGGGGGTATGTTTTGACTTCTTCTGTTTGGGTTCGCCCAGCATCTCCCTGTAGGGGGACGCGCCCGACCTGAATCTAAGCTCAGAGTGGGTCCGTATGGCAGAGGCGGCCAGGCCCTCTGCAGGTGACAAGTGCTATAGGGCAAACGTTTCCCGGGCAATATCTCCTAAGTGCGTGCGTGAGCGCTCTCAACATCTCCGAAGGATTCTCCCGGGCTCCGAAAGTCTTCGGGGGAATCTCCGGAAGACCTTCGCGGCGCAGAGTCCTCCGGAAAGTCCATGCGACATTTCCGACGTGCAGAGATCGCCAGAAAATCCCTGGGCTGCAGAAATTTCCCGAAAATCTATTGGATGTACACGGGCAAGGCATGGAGCATCGCCAGCGGAGACTTCGTTGGAGGTTTTGTTTTAGAGCGAAGATGTTTGGGAGATTTCGTTGGAGAGATCTATGGCGCGAAGATGTTGTGGAGATTCGGCATGGGAGTTTTATGCCGCGAAGATTTGTTGGAGATTCGCCGCGGGACTTTTTGAAGTTAGATTCACGGGAATCCGCGAGATGATTTCTTGTAGACTCCAGGGCGGTCGCCTTGCCATAATCGCCCCAGCCTAAATCTGGGCCCACCCGATGGGATCCGAGCAGCTGGGCTCGGGGGGTCGCGCCGCATCGCAGATGCATCGGCGACGCGGCTCGATGTGGAGGCCGGTTTTCTCCACGCCGACGGCGCCGATGAATCGCGACGTCGCCGGTGCGTAGCCAGTGCATCGGCGATGCATCGCAGATGCATCGGAGATGCGGAGCGATCTTTTCACCCCTTCTATTCGGACCCCATTTGCTCTACGTCGCGTAGCACCTGTACCCAGAGATCCGATGTCGTAATTCTTCAATACGGGGTCCCCGGAAGTCTCGACCCATCCCCAGTACGGGTTTTTCATCTTGAGTCGGTTTTCGACGGTCAAGGGGCCCTGCGAGGGCCCCTAGAGGCCGAATGCTGCGAAAACTTGTCGTCTTGATGTGTTCAATACGTTGGATCTCTTGGTAGCAGCGCATGCAGCGTTGTGAGCCTGCGCAGCGCAAGTATTTTCACGCTCTGGGCACCGCCCGCCTTTTAGAGGATCGCTCCGGCGGGAGCCGACGTGCAGGCGTGGAGCCCCCGGATTCTTCCGGCGTCTCCGGCGAAAGCCGGAGGCGCGGGCGACCCGGGGGGCTTAGGCGTCCCGTCCTCCTCCTCCTCCTCCTCCTCCTCCTCTCCTCCTCCTCCTCCTCCTCCTCCTCCTCCTCCCTCCTCCCCTCCTCCTCCTCTCCTCCTCCTCCTCTCCTACTCCTCCTCCTCTCCCCCTCCTCCTCCTCTTCTTCCTCGTCCTCCTTTGTCATCTCCTCCTCCCCCCCCTCCCCCTCCTCTTCCTCCTCCTCTTCCTCCTCCTCCTCCTCCTCCTCCTCCTCCTCCTCCTCCTCCTCGGGTCGCCGAGCCCCGCCCCGAGGAGATACCCAAGGCCGCGATCGTGTGGGCCATGGCGCAGCTGCGGCCAGCGACCGCCTGCAAGACGAGCAGCTGCGTGCCGCCCTGGGCCAGGGGCCGAGCGCTCCGTCAGAGAGTCAGGTCGCCGATGACGCACTTTTGGTAGGCGGATCCCTCAGGCTCTCCGCCGCCTCTGGCGGTGCGCGTTGCGAGCAGGAACGCAGCAAAGCCACGGGAACACAGCAAAGCCACGTGTGTGGAGCTGCACTGTGAATGCCGCGCTTTCCTCTGGCTTTGCCGCGCTCCTGCTCGCAACGCACACCGCCAGAGGCGGCGGAAAGCTTGAGATATCCACGCACAAAAAGGTCGCAGGAGACGGGGGCAAAGTAGACTTCAATCGGGCCTGTCCCTCTACAGGGGGAATAGTCAAAAAATATATGGGGTCGATTTTCCGTATGTTTGAGTATGATTTGAATACGTTTTGATTATGTTTGATTGTTCGTCCAATTTCTGCCTGTAGGGGGACATGCCCGACCTAACCATAGTGAGCCCATGCGGGCGGACTCTTTTCCTGCAAAGCATGTTTTCCTGAATCAGGCACTTTTGCCCGACGTCGCTTTGATTAAACGTATATCTGACGGCATTCGTGCCGTTGGCTGTTGGCCTCCGCGATGTTTCGGGTCGCAGTCGTTGAATAACATGTCTTGGAGACGATTAGCGCAGCTTGTGAAGAATGCGAGGGGACTGGCGCTTGCAGTAAGGGAGAAAGTACAATCCAGCGGCTCGCCCTGCAATGCAGTTTTGTTGTTTTCATTGGGTATGCCCATGCTGACGGTGATGGTGATGATGATGCTGATGATGCTGATGATGGTGATGATTATGATGATGATGATGATGATGATGATGATGATGATGATGATGATGATGATGATGATGATGATGATGATGATGACGATGACGATGACGATGACGATGATGATGATGATGATGATGATGATGATGATGATGATGATGATGATGATGATGATGAGTTCTCCAGCGCTGCTTATTGCTAAGGCCTTACGGCTGGTGCCGCCGACCCTGAAGACGACGACGAATTCGAGGAGGAGGAGGAGGAGGAGGAAGAGGGGGGGGAGGAGGAGGAGGAGGAGGAGGAGGAGGAGGAGGAGGAGGAGGAGGAGGAGGAGGAGGAGGAGGAGGAGGAGGAGGAGGGGGGTTAAGGTGGAAGGGAGCAGGAGGAGGCGAAGGAGATGTTCCCCATGTGGGCCGAGGGAGTCGTAGCAGAGACAGACAGGGAGCCTTGTGGCCTGCGGCCCTTCCCGCCACCGTGCTGGGGTTGTGGTTGTAAGGCCTCTTGGATATTTTCGGGCCTGTTGGGGCCTCTGTTGGGCCTCTTGGGGGTCTCTTGGGAGCCTCTTCGGGCCCCTTGAGGGGCTCTTGGGGCCTTCAGGGGGCTTCTTGGGGCGGGAAGCTCGAGATGTCCGTTAGTGGTCCTCTTCTTGGGCCTGCTTGGGGCCCTCTTGGCGCGTCTTGGCGCTTTTTTGAACTCCGGGACGCCCAGGGGCGGATGCGTATCTGACCCCCCCACCCCCCCAGGACACCCCTGGGAACCCCCACGGACACCCCCTCCCCCCTCGGCGGGGGAGGGATCAAAGGGAAGGGGCTTCCCTTCGACTTCAGTACGACCTTGCTACCTTTTTCTCTCGCTGGCAGGCTTGAAGAGGCGGGCGTAGGGAAAGGGGACGACGGAGACGCAGGGAAAGAGGACAACGTATGCGTCGGCTGAGCGCACGCCGACAGGGGGTCCACACGCCGACATGGTCGGCGGATTTGTTTAGTGCTTCGTGGCACGGCCAAGAGTGGGCTCTTTATCCAGTGCCCTCGCCGTACAGTCGGGGCGCTGAGGAAGGAACCCTTTTCGTTGGGGAGGGGCTCCGCGTTCCTTAAGTGTTTCGCAGCTTGCCTTAGGTTTTCCCTATGTTTTCGATCGGAAATCGAAATTTAACTCATGGAAAAAAGGGGCCTCGTTCCTTATTTTGGGTTCCTTAGGTCAGGCCGATGACTGTACACACCCCCCTTCCGAGGCCTCGGAGCTGGCCGCGTGCCCCGCCAGCCCGCGCGGGCGCGAGATCAGCTTCCGGGTGCAGTGCCCCACGGGCTTCGCCAGCAAGAAGAGCCTCAGGAGCCGCCGGCACGGCCCGCGCTGGCGCTCGAGGCAGGGCCTCGCCCTCGAGGGATCGGAGGAGTTCCCAGATCTCCGACGATGCGACGTTCTCAATCCGGGCGTTTTTCCGAGATGACGACATCCGGGGCCCGTTCTTGGGTCCAGGGACAATCAAGCTGGATCGGGGGCGAACAACGGCCCTCGGGGACGGGGTCGGGACGTCTGGGGCCGCGGATGAGAAAAAACCATCTCGGCTCATCTCAGGCTTGGCATCTCCTCCTCGGCGGAAGGGCGGCGCAAGCCCACGGAAGCAAAACGAGGCCGCCGCTGCCAGCGGAAGCCGAAGGAAGCCGGCGGAAGTAAAGATTCGCCCCCCCCCCCCCCAGAGACGGCAACATTCTCGGGGTCAGGTTTTTTGGAACGGGCAACGTGCTGGCAGGGAGCAGGGGGGAGGCATTAGGAGTGGAAGTAGGAGTCAAGTCAGCTGGGTCCAGCGAGTCAGGGGCCCCCCCTACTTCCGCCCTCCCTCCCACAGCACATTGATCAATCGCGGCACAACCCCATGTTGGGTTTGGAGCGCGCTCCCGCCTCGTAAACGGACTGCGCTCGCTCGCGGCCCCGCTTCCGACGACGCGGTGGCAAACAAAAAAAACGACGAGGGCCGCGCAGGGGCGGCAGCGGCAAATCTTCCGATGGGCACGGCGATGGCACAGCATGCGACGCGCCGACACAGCGCCGCCACGCTCGCTCACAGACCGCGCGGCGCTCGGGCGGTGCCGGCGTGTCGCCCGCTCTCGCGCGGCCCCGTTGCCGGTGTCGTTCGGGTGCAAGTCGGCGAACGAACCACGCGCCGCGCCCGCGCTGGAAACGCCACTGCCGAGCGAATTTGCGCACGGAGCTGTGGCGATGGCGGCAAGTCGCCGAACCCCTCGCGGGCCCACAGACATTGGCGAGTGGAAGATGCGCGCCGCGTCATCAGGCGGGAGCGCCATTTTCAGGCGAAGTCTGCGCGGCGTCGAGGCCGGAACGGCACTCTCACCCGCTCGTGTCGGCGAAGATGCGTGGAACAAACGCGCGCCGCGCCCCAGAGTGAGCGCAATCCTCTAGAACAGTGATCGTGGCGCCGAAGCGAGAACAACATATCGGCCTTTTTTCGCGGGAGGCGCGCCCCGTCTCATTAATGCCACGCATTTCGCAGCATGGGCGACAGAACGCCCATGTTGAGCCGAAAAGCTCTGATTGACAGGAAAGGTGATGGAAGGAAGAACAGGAAGGATGTTTGATTGTTGATTGTTGATTGTTGGTTGATTGCACGGAAGGGCGCATTGTTGATTGTTTGTTGACAGGAAGGTTGGGACCACCCGAGTCTGGTCGCCCACGGACGGCCAGGTGGCAGAGCGGGAGCCGATACCAAGAAGGAGCGGGGCCCATGCCAAGAAACACCCTGCTCGCCTCCAGGGTGCCCTTGGTTTCTTGGGGTTCGATGGTTTTGCTGTGGACAGCGTGACGCCCCCACGCCAAGAATCGATGGGCGCCCTGGGGTCTCAGGGTTGCGTTTCGTGTGGGAGGTTTCTTGTGGACTGGCCTCCACTGTACGGAACGGTGGCGATGCCAGAGCCGTGATCAGCCTCTGGGCGCCTGCTCGGCTTGGCGGAGGACTCCGGGGGCTCAGCCGGCCCCGAGCAGCGGGCGGGCAGGTCTCGGGCGCAGCGCTGCGGGCGTTGACAGGTTGAGAGGCGGGCGCGCGCCGGCCCCGGGAGTCGCCCCCACACATGCCCGACGGGGGCCCGAGTGCCCAAGAGCCCACCCTGCCCAGGCTGCGAGCGGATTCGGGGGCCCAGCGCCGATCCGTCGGCGACGGGTGGCCGATTCCAGCTAGATGTGTCCCCCCCCCCCCCCTCTGGGGAGGGGAGGGGGGGGGCGAGGGAGGGACAGGCGGGCGATGGGGTTGCCGACGGTCCGCGAGTGCGGACTGGAGTGGGACCCTGCGGGCCGTGCAGTGGCCGAGCCGCGCCCGCCGTTGCAGTTGCCATGCAAAGGCTCACAGTGCTGACAACGAAGAAGAAGAAACCTGCATACGGCTGAAACGCTGAAGTAAGGACCGCTTTGGGTCAGAAAGGGGGTCATTTTTGTATCTTGTAGCCCTTCTCGTGCGTCCAGGCTTTTTTTGATGCCGGATAGGGACGTCGTTCCGCATCTGGCGTTCCTTCTGTCAGCAGCCTGATTGTAAGCTCTTGAAGGCCTGCGCGGATTTCTTGGATCGGCGCTGGATCGGCGTCACCCCAACATACTCATGCTATATGTGCGTCGCCCCCTGGGGGCGATGCGCGCACCGAGAACTATCGTTGTATATGCGTCGTGGCTGGCGTTTTCTGTCCATACCGCTCGGGAAACGATATGCTACAAGATGGGTATACTAAATGTTCGGGTCGGACGCGCGCCTCCAAGAAGAACATAGTACTACGGTGGGGGCACTGGTTAAGGAATGTGCCCAGGAGGCCTCAGACCCTGGAGGGTTCCTTATATGATGAGGGCGGCTTGCACCATTCGTAGCTCGCTTTTCCTCTGCTGCAGCCAGTGCGCCGTCCGCGCCCGATCTGACAGGGGCCTGCTCACTACCCAGGTGTGAGTCTAGACAAAATTTGAGCTCGTGAGCCCAGGGATCCTCCTCATCGGGGAGCTCAACAAACTCGGGATCCAGATCGGCCTCTGACGTCGTCTGGGGCAGGTCATCCCCCCCTTGCGTGGGAGGCTCTAAAACATCTCCGAAGGCCTCCTGAAAACCCTTGAGATCCATGGCCAAGCCACGATTGGAGTTCCACCGGCTTCCGGGCCCTGGATTCCTGATCTTAAGGGTTCCTGGCCCAATGCCCCCACCGTCGTATGTCTTTGTACGTCCCCCTGGATCCCCCCCCTCCCTGGCGCGCGGAGCGCGCAAGGGGCGGCGCCAGGGCGCCGCCAAGAGGCTCCAGCGCCGATCCAAGAAGTCCGCGCGGACTCTTGAAGGGTGATGTTCGTGCATGTCTTCAGAAGGGGACGAGTCATCGTCGAGCCCCAGGAAGATATGGGAAAAGATGGGGAGAAGGGAGAAGACCACTCCCCCAAAAAATCTGGGAATCTGGGAAAGCCTGTGATCCGTGTCTGTTCATATGTGTGTTTCTGGGCCCCTTCCTATTCGCGCTCCCCTGAAGCGAAGAGGCGCCTGCAGAACCGTGGCAACGGGCCTCGAGGGCCCCCGTGCGGGGCTCTTGTTCTGGGGAAGGCAGAACCACCCGGACCCGGCAACGGGCGTTTGCTAAACGGCCGTGGGCGTTTTTTTTCTACACAGCCCTGCCCTGTTCGATTCCTTTTTTGGGTGCGTTTACTATAGGCGGCCTCGCTTGCCAGGTGGAGTTTCTGCCCTCTACGTGTGTATCGACGGGCTGCATGAAGAGGCACACTGTGGTCCTCGGGCGACCTCCCTCGCTGTCTGCTGCCTTCTCGCTCCTCCCTGCTCCTGCGCCTTGGCCCATCCTTCCACCAGGGGTCGAAGCATGAACAAATGCACAGACTTTTTGCGTCGGCGGCTGGGCCAAGGTCGACTGCTCCAGCGGAATGGCAACAGGGGACACGATGAATGCAAGCTAAGGCCGCAATGCACGGAAGGAGGAAGAGGAGCCCAGGCGCGACGGGGGGAGAGGAAGCCGGGCCACTCAGAGCTGCCGGCGGCGGCAGGGGACAGCGCCGGCACAACGGCACAAACAGACAGTCTCGAAGGTCCGCGCTGATCTCTTGGATCGGCGCCGGAGCCTCCAGGCCCAGTTCCGATCCGATCCGATCCGATTCCGATGCGCCCCTAGCGAGTCCGGCGCCGCCCTTGGTGCGCCCCGCGCGCCAGGTCGGGGGCGGCAAAGCGGGGGGGGGGACGATTAGGGGGGTGTGGATCTCATGGCGGGTGCCACGATATCTGCCCAGATTTCCTGGCGCCTCTTCTGCTTTCAATACCCTGGGCCGCGCACGTGCCGCCGGCCATGCTTTGCGCCCTCCCCCCCCTTTGGACGCCCCCCTCTGGAACGCCCCCGACACCGATTCCGGCGCCGCCCCTGGTGCGCCCCCGGCGCGCCACGGCGCGCGGAGCGCACCAAGGGCAACGGGTCCAGCGTCGGTCCGAGCAGTCCGCGCGGACCTCTCCCAGGGCTTCCGCTTGTGGCGCCGTTCCTTGCCTGGTGGGCGAATGGCGAGGCGCAGGAGCGCCAGGGGGGGGGGAGGGGAGCGACCCAGGCCCCGTCGGGCAATGAGCAGAAATCATGACGCGGGAGGCTGTCTGCTGCTTTCGGCCTCGGGGGGCCCCCACTGGGCCTCAGGACCGTCAAAGCACGATTCTGGGTGAAAAGCCAGTCCCGGGGAAGGGGCCGAGGCTTCTCGGGGTCGACGTCATGAAGAAACCATGACGTCGGGGGAAGGGGGAGCGAGCGAGCGAGCGAGGGCGCCTGTGTCCGCCAAGGGCGGGGCCTCTAAGGCCAGCGCGAGTGGGCGCGTGAGCCCTCAGAGTGAGTGCCGGCGACCTCGGCGCGGGGAGGCGGGGGGGAGGGGGCGCGTCAGGGGGAGCATCCGTGACCCAGCGCCGGTGTCCGAGAGCTTTGGCCCTGCTCTTCCTCTCGGGTCGGGCGAGAGGGGGGGATTGGGAAAGGGGGGGTTACGAAATTTGCTGCATGCAGCTGGTTTCGGCCTCGCCGAGGGGCCCATTCCTCGATACATAGCCGCCTCCGGCGCCGGGAGGCGCCGGGAAAGTCAGCTACGTGAGCTGATTCTCAAACCCCCCCTTTGCTATCCCCCCCTTTCGCCCGACCCGATCCTCCCAGTGCACACGTCGCACTCTTCCCTGGAAGCACGAGGGCGAACGCTGGACGCACGAGTCTGCGTGTGGACTGGGCCTGGCGGGGGGCGAGGAGAAGGAGGCGTTCCCTGCGGAGCCCGCAGGAGCCCCACGCACAGGCTCTGCGACAGGCCAGGAGCTTTTTGGGGGGAGCCGCCCTTCCGCCGCTGCGCCACCGCGGCGGCGA